TTTAAGGCAGAGGTGGGGCATGGGGGGGGGGCGTGCAGTGACAGATGAGGACATCCAGGAGGTAAATAGTAATCTGAGGAAATTAGTGAGTCTGCAATCAAGAATGCTTTAGTCACTATTCTATGCAGTAGATCACTAAAGTGTGCTCCTCCTAACTGAAATGCTGTACACTTTGATCTTCATCTCCACTTTCCCAACCAGCCTCTTCCCCCAGCCTCTGGCAACCATCCTCAAATATCTATGTTTATAAATTAAACTTCTCTAGATTCCACATATAAACAAGATCATGGCGTATTTATCTTTCTGTTCCAGACTTGGATTTACTTCACTTAATATCCTCCACATTACTGAAAATGACAGGATTTTCCCCTTTTCAAGACTATATAATATTCTATTGTGTATATATATGACATTCTCTTTACCCATTCATCTGATAATGGACACTTAGGTTGCTTGCATATCTCAGACATTTTAAGAACTGCTTCAATGAACGTGGGATGGCAGGATTTCTTCAGCATACTGATTTCAATTCCTGTGGATATATACCAAGCAGCGGAACTGCTGGATCATGTGGTAATTCTATTTTTAGTTCATTGAAGGTCCTCCATGCGGTTTTACACAATAGCTGTATTAATTTACATTCCCACTAACAAGCGCACAAGGGTTCCCTTTTCTCCACACTCTCACCAATACTTGTTACCCTTCATTGTTTTTATACAGCCATTCTAACAGATGTGGGGTGATAAACATAGAATGGAGATATCATAAGTAACAATGCATTGTATACTTCAAAATTGCTAGAATGGATTTTAAATGTTTTTCACACCACGAAAAATGGTAATCATATGAGGTGGAATTTGTTAATTAGCCTGATTTAATCATTCCAACTGATAACATGCATCAAAATATCACATTGTATACCATACATATACATACACACACACACACACACACACACAACTGGGTGAGGAAGTACATGTCTGTAACCTTAGTTACCCAGGAGGCTGAAGTGAGAGTAATGCTTGAGGCGATCAATCAGGAGCTTGAGGCTACAGGCTACAGTGCATTATGATCACTCCTGTGAATAGCCACTGTGCTCTAACCTAGGCAACACAGCAAGAACCTGTGTCTGAATTTTTTTTAAAAAAGAACACTTTAAAAATATGTATTATTTGTCAAGGAACTAAATTAAACAAAAAAAAAAAAAAAAAAAAAAAAAAAGAATGCTCTAGTCACTGCCAGTGGAGAGAAGCAGACAGATTGAGAAAGTGTGCAACCATCACCTCAGTTCTGGCAGCTTGCCAGGTAGCATTTGCTTACCTCTGATCTTGCTTAAAAATCCTATGAGATATGTCACAACAAAAGTGTCTCTGTCATAGCAGACTCTACACAATAAAGATGTTTTTCTAACTATATCTATATAGCTATAAAGGACCACAATTAGTTAGAAGAGCTCTACAAAATTAGTACCAGAAAAGACTTCAGTTAATAACGGCCCCAGAGGCTGGCCCCCAGAAAGGCTAAGTGATTTACTTAAGGTCATACAGCTGGCAGTAGTGTCTAGCCCAGAATCAAGAACCAACTAGAATCTCCTAAGGTGAAATCGCCTATCATTGTGCCTCTTAACAGGATTTCTAAAAGACAAGGCTCCCTGTTCCTCAGAACTATAACTTCATCACTATACCTTTTCCTAAAATCAGAATATTTACAACTGAGTATTCATTTTTTAAATGAATTTAATCATTGAGACAGTACCTATACATCAGATATGATAAAGAATTTCCATCTCCAATACATTTTACTACAGATGTAAAATTTAAGTAATTTTACCCATGTTTACAATATGCTGCTTGAAATTTAATCATAAGTATATAAAAACATAATTTTATGTACCCTCATAATCATGATTGTACATAAATGAGGGTACATAAAAAGTACCTTTTCAGAAATATATAATTTATACTAAAACTTCATGTATTCTGTTACAAAGACTGATTTATTTCAAAGAATGAAGAAACTGAATTACCACTGCACCCAGTAACAAAGATCTGTGTCAATAAGATCTTTTCTTTTCTTTAACATCTGTAAGAACTACATGAGAAAAACATATACATTAACCAAGGTTGAAAGAAAAAACAACTTAAAATATAAGCAGCTACAAAAGAGTGCTCTCCATGGTGAAAAATAAAGTCCGCACATAAGTATCCTAGCAAAAATTTTACTACACACACACACACACACACACACACACCCCTAACAGATGGATTCTAAAAAGCAGCTAAGCATTCCACAATCCAAATGCTCAAAAATTAATAATAAAGGTTAATTAACACTCTGGCACATGTTATATTGTATAAATGAGAACAACAGCAGTAATTTTGGGCAGAAGACCCCTCTCTGCTCTCACCCTTCATCTCATTCAACCTTTTTCTCAATTGTGAGCACACCCTTCTGCCTCTTCTACTCTGCAATCAAATCACAACCACCCAAAAACGGAGGTGTCTGCTGCAGCCCAAAACATTTGACTGATAATATCCGGTTTGCCATTCCAGGAAATCCCAGTGTGGTTTTTAAGCCTCTGCCCACAGCTTGTAAAGAAAGGCGAGAGAGGAACTAATCGATACCAGCACCCCAGCTGTGACCTGGCACATGAAGAAATCAAGAAAATAAATCCCATCCATAATCTGTATAATTTAACACTTGGAAGAAAGCAACATCTGGGATCGACTCCAAGCGGGACAGTTTTGCCTGGATGGATCTGAGCTTCCTGCACTGAGTGTTAAAGCCGCTTAGGAGGCGATGTTCTCTGGTCCCTCACCAGTCCAGCAAAGGGAGTATCTTTTTCCTAGCAAGGGTTAATCTACCTCCCAAAAAAGAGGAGAGTGAGGAGAAGGAAATTAACAACCACTAACATCTATTCCTTGCCAGTGGAGAGGGTGGCAAAGACTTCCCTGACACTTTAAAGGAGGGAAAGCTGGAAACCTTTTCCAAAGGTGGGTTCAGGTCAAACTATTGTCTTGCTAACCAGTTACAATCCAGAATGGAAGCTAACGTAAAATGTGAGAATGACTTTATTGAATCCTGCAGTCCTTTCACTGGACCCCAAAGTCCTATCCCCCAGGCAAAGTTGAGAAAAAAACAAAACAAAAATCCCCTCTATGACTCCCTGGGAAGACTTTCCAGATTTTTTAAATGGCAAGAAAATGAATTTAGAACACAAGCAGATATCCACACATCATCTAAATAACTAGATCTGTCCTCAATTAAAAAAAAAAAACACCCACACACACAAAGTACACCAGTCGGCAGAACAGGGCATTATAGGAAATAAACAGTATTAGTAAAATCCATAAAGCTTTCTCTCTGTTAGACCTTCTGGGAGGTTATAATTGCATTTGGCCGGCTGCAGGCTTGTCGGAGAGCCTGGCTTCTTAATAGTCTCAACCCTAAAAGGAGTAACTGTCAAGGGGCAACCCAGCTGAAATCAAACAACAAAAACGGGAACTGTAACCCAGCTGAAATGGGAGGAGGGAAAGGAAGGGAGACTCCAGTATTCATCAGTCAACATTAATGTCCTTTGTTGTTCACCTTTGCACAGAACAGCGAGCGCTATCCTGTTCCTTTTTCTCCGAACGCCAGTGTCAGGGCTCGCTTTCCTAAAAGCTATCTCCCTGCCCCCAAGAACCAGGCTTTCCGATCCTCCTCCCCATTATCATCACTCCGCAACCCGGTGCCGCCACACCGCCCTGTGCCCCTCACCCGGGGTCGACAGGGTGGCCAGAAGTAAAAACACTGCTGAAATACCCGTTCTCCTCCAAAGACCAAAGAACCGAGCGGCGCAGATGTTGAAATTTACCAATGCCCCCGCCCCCCAACATACACACCCCATAAACCCGGGATCGCAGGGAAGAAGGAGGGTCAGAGAGGGCTCAGCCTGTCAGAGCGGCTGTCTCCAGGACCCTGCCACATTCCACACTCCAGGAATGTAGATCCGAGCCAGGGGGAAGGGTCTGCGCCTCCCTGCTGTTTTGGGGGTGTTCTCTCTGCCCAAGTGTCGTTGTTTCCCTCTCCACCCAGGGGAACCGTCGCAGCTCCCTGTCACGTTGGGGAAGACTGGTAAGGATGGAGAGAAACCCCATTCGCCTCCTCGTCCAACTTGACACACACGCACAAACACACACGCCCCGTAGCCACTCCAAACTCCGCAGGCAGAGCCCGAAGCAAGCGGGTCGGCCGCGCGCTCCCCCAAGCCGTCCCGGCGCTCCGCAGGGGTGCGCAGGGGCTGGCTCGGCAAAGCCGAGGCTGGTGTGCAGGGGCTGGCTCGGCAAAGCCCGGGACCCGCTGCGCGATGCCAGGATTAGGCATTTTCAGCCAGGAGGAGCGAGAGGGGCGCGGGGGCAAGGACAAGAAATGCGCACCCGCTCGGGCCAGAGCGGAATAAAAGTTCGCCCGGCAGAGACTCACCCACACCGTATTTCTCGTGCTCCGTAGGTATCCACATGGCTAAAGGCGGCTCCGGGGTCCTCGGGCTTTGTAATCCCTGCGCCCCTTCTCCAGCTCACAACAATGCACAGTCCCCGAGCCGAGCTGCAGCGCCGGAGCCCGGCTGCTTCGCGCGGGCTGAGGGCGCTGGGCAGGATCTGCTCTGGAGGCTCCCGAGCCCAGCGTTGACACTGCGCCGCCCGCAGCTCTCCGGCGGCGGCTGCTCACAGTCCTCCGACGCGCTCCCGGGGACCCCGCGGCGCAGTCATTGTTCTGATTCACTGAACTAAGCGAACACGCCGGGGCACTCTCGGGAGCACCCCCGCCCGCCAGCGCCTAGTCCGGCCCTCTCGTCCCAGGGCCCCGCGGCACGCTGGGAATTGTAGTTCTCGGCCTTCCAATCCCGGAAGTGGGCGCGGCAATTGAGGCTCGGGGCGGGGATTCAGTTTTGCTCGCTACGTTCTATTGGTCCAGAGCGCGACGTAGGTGTGGCGAAGACACCGCGTCGGCAAGGAGTTTGCCTCCAGTCGCTTTTCTATTGGGGGCTCGCCGCCTCCGCCCCGCCCTGTGGCCCTCCCTTTTCTTCTCTGCCGGGTAATGGCTGTTCCCAAGACCCAGGGGGCTGTCGCCCGACTGGAGGAAGACCGTGATGGAAGCTGCAGCACAGTCGGGGGTGTAGGTTATGGGGGTGAGTACGGTGTCCCTGAGGCGCGGCTGATGCGTCTTCTTTCTCTGTGACCGGGAGTGCAGTGGACCTCTGGTCTGATCCTAGGATCCCTTCAGCCCTGGGCCACCTGGATTCAACCGGGCTCCACGGGTGTTGGCCCAGCGGGATGGGGTGGAGCTGGGGGCGGCTACTTGGTTGGGGCTGCCCGGGAAGGGCGGAGAAAATGCCATGGAATGGGCTTCCCCTCGGCCAGGGAAGCTCCCTGAACGTTTGTCTTCTGGTTTGGAGCTCCCAGCTTTGCCCTAGCTACTGAGTGGGTTTGGCTCAGGTCTGGTTCGCACGCGTGTGTTTATAACTTTGGGATTAGCAGCTGTTTTTCCTCACCAGTACGCTGCCTCGGTTTGCTTGGTTTGACCTCGCAGATGTGTTTTATGTAGCTTCCGGAGAATTTCCAGTCGCAGACTGGTGGTCACTGCTCTCCACTCTGCAGACTTGCCCAGTTTGTGGCTGAAGTGTCCTCTGGAAGGGAAAGTGTGTGCATCTGGTTAACTACCCTGGATGTTCTCCAGAATTGGACGTGGAGCCTGGGAGATCTTCCCAGTCTCTGGGTCCTTAGAGAAAAAAAAAAAAGGAAAGTGGTAGATAACTTGCACTCGTGGCTTCAAAGAACATTTGAAAAGGGTTATGAAAATCATCACAACTTTGGTTGTACCTGACTTTCAAGTTGTCCTCTGATCCACTATAGGAATAAAAAACCAAATTTCGAAAGCTGCAGGTGGATTGTGTTTAGGACTATTTTACCTTTAGTCTATCTCTCCCCCATTCCCTCACCCCATTTTTGCCTTGGTGTGTAATTTAGCACAAGTTGTCTTTTTCTGATGAACATGCTTTGGGGCTTAAATATGGTTTTCAGACGTTGTTGAGGTTTTAATTTGATGCTTTTTGGTTTCTTTGTTTTTGCTTTCACAGTTAAATTGATATTTAGTCTTAAATATTTACCCCAGCAGCACAGATATGAAATGCAGTTTCTTTTCACTTCCCAACAGTGGAATCCCTACCCTGAAATTATTTTACTACCTCAAAATGCAAAGATTTGTTTAGCGAAACAAATCTTTGATAGTCCCCTGAGTTAAATATTGAGTTTAACACCCTAATGGTTCATTATAGGGCTGGTCATATATTGGGCTATCTGATGGTAACAGACTATTAAAGTTTCCTAGATTCTCAAAGTTCCAGAGAGCTACCAGTTTAAGATCTAAAGCTATACCTTTGTTGAATAACTTTTCTTACAGTCTTACGTATTTTACAAAATGGTTATGTCTTTCAAAAATGTAAAATATTTAGAAATATTTATTTTTACATTTTAAAAGTATTTATTGTAAGTATTTGTAACCATTCAGAATTGTATGAAGTAAAAAGATGAAAACTCCTTCACCTCACAGTACCACTCCCAGAGTATTAAGTGGCAAGAATTTTGTGCAAGAATTCTTTCCAATATATTCTTTTTTTTTTTTTTGAGACGGAGTTTTTCGCTCTTGTTACCCAGGCTGGAGTGCAATGGCGCGATCTCGGCTCACTGCAACCTCCGCCTCCCGGGTTCAGGCAATTCTCCTGCCTCAGCCTCCCAAGTAGCTGGGATTACAGGCACACGCCACCATGCCCAGCTAATTTTTTGTATCTTTAGTAGAGATGGGGTTTCACCATTTTGACCAGGATGGTCTCGATCTCTTGACCTCGTGATCCACCCGCCTCGGCCTCCCAAAGTGCTGGGATTACAGGCTTGAGCCACTGTGCCCGGCCCCAATATATTCTTATATGACACACATCTATATGGTTTAATACAAAGGGATCACTCTGTAAACTAAAGGTCTGCAACCTTCTTTTTTCTTTCAGCAGTCTATCATAGAAACCCTTCCATGTCAGTACATTTGTTGTTTCTTTTTTTTTTTTAAGACTATGCCCATCATATTCCCAAATATCAATGTGCCATATTTTAGCCATTCCCTTATAAATGAACATATAGTGTGACTTTAGTTTTTCAATAATGTTTCAGTGAACAGCTTTATGTACATATATTCTTGCCCACTAGGTGTGTATTTTGGGGGGAAATTGCTGGATCAAAGGTTATGCAAGTTCAAAATTTCTATAGGTGTCAGATTTTCCTCTTAAAAGCAGCATACATTGCCACCTGTAGTATATGAGTGTTCTTTCCCCCATATTGTCACCAACTTTGAGGAAATAATCCAGAACCAATGTTTAAATGACTAGTGGATTGAAGTAAGTAATCGATAGAAAGCTCAATTTTTTGGTTCCGGTTTGTTTTCAACAAAAGTGTTGAGTAATCGTGAATCTGCAGCATCTATAACTTGAAAAAATTTCTCACCCTGGCTCAGAACTACCCAGTATTCTCCCTGACTTGTAGCAGTCAACAGGAGAAATTAATGGTTGATATTTTTATGTCACTGTTATAAGATAATGTCATTAAAAATTCTGCTCAATAACCTATGTATCATTCTGTTACTTTTAACAAAATCTTTTCAAAGCCAACAAAGTGTGATATAAATTTTAGATGTAAATATTTATATTAAAAGTATATTCATTTTATTTTTAGCACTCACTAAGATTATCAAGCATGTCTTTCCCTATAAAAATCATACACCTTTTTGATTTCTTAAAAAACTGCATCTTTTAAGAGGTTTTCCTAAAGCTCTAATTAAAATGCCAGTCTGTATGTTTAATACCCTGGGACAGCAAGGCCCAGGAAGGCTTTTTATAGAAATCCTTGCAATTCTTCAAAATCTCTGCTAGAGTGAGTCAGAGGGTGGGGTGCAGGCAGGTACAACCCCTTCACTGAGACCACTGTGTTGCCAGACTTCTGTGGCTCCATCCTTCTCCAAGAAGTTCCCCAAATTGACTAGGTCAAGTTTTTGTGGTGGTTGTTGTTGTTTTAGAAGGAGTCTCACTCTGTTGCCCAAGCTGGAATGCAGTGGCGCCATCTCAGTTCACTGAAACCTCTGCCTCCTGGGTTCAAGCGATTCTCCTGCCTCAGCCTCCCGAGTAGCTAGGATTACGGGTGCCTGCCACCATTCCCAGCTAATTTTTGTATTTTTAGTAGAGATGGGGTTTCACCATGTTTGCCAGGCTGGTCTCAAATCCCTGACCTCAGGTGATCTGCCTGCCTCAGCCTCCCAAAGTGCTGGGATTACAGGCGTGAGCTACTACGCCTGGCAGACTAGGTCAAGTCTTAAAGGACACTGCTTTACATACATTTGAATAGTAACTAAGGTTTCAATTTGTCCCCTAAAATTAAGAACAGATAATAAATAGATTCAGCATCCCTCACATGGTGTTATTGGCATTTGTTCTTTTGCTGTTTTTAGTTAAAAGTCAGCAAGATAGCACAGTTTAATAATAATAATACATTTACGGGGCTTTTGTGACTGAGGCGGTTTTTTTCTGACAGTATTAATCTGTATCTCCATATTGTAATAATATTCTGTCAAAGTTAAATTTTTCCCTCCTCATGCGTGTTTAGTAGTTGATGATTTTGGTAATGCTTGGATTCTGGAGATCTTATTATCTGATTAATTTGGTAATGTTACAGATGTCTCTGGAAGCAAAGGGGAAGGGTAGCAGGTGATGTAAACTCCTCATTCTTGTATTTCCTATTTCAATAGATGGGCATCAAGTCTAAGCTAGAAACCAACGAAGCATCCCTAATTCCTAACTGGCCCTCAGGTACTGAATCTGATCAGTTAGCAAGCCTTATTTTTCTGTGCCTGAAGTATCTTTTGAATCTGTTTCCTCTATTCATTGCTATAGCCACTATTCTAATTCCATTACTAACCCTCACCTTTACTGCTGAATTACTGATCCGTATCTCCCATACCCTAGAAAGTGTTCTTGCGAACCAGTAGTATGTGTTTTTGTTAGCCTGATTCTGTTCTTGGCACATTTTAATGTTTAACAAATGTTTAACCAGAATGGAATTGTAGCCTGGACAGTTGCAAAATCTTCCTGTTGATCTTGCTGACTTGACTTTACTTCCTTTAATCCACATTCTAAAACAAATATATTCATGGATCTCCACTTGAAATTTTCAGTGTAACTCTGGTACATGTAAAAAAAATGAGGTCCAGATTCTCTGTGTGGCATTTAAGATTCTAATCTACTTGTCTAGCCTCATCTTCAGTCAGCCTGCTTCCTTTCTCTTATCTCTATTATCCACTTACTCACACTGGTTACTTTTTGGCAACTTTGTCTATACCAGTGGACAGTGAACTTCTTGAGGTCAAGACTTGTCTTATTTCACTTTTACACATCCAGTGTTTATCAAAGCTGCACAGAGTAAACATTGTATAACAGTCTAATTTTAGAATATGCTTGAAATTTATTCAAGGCATTTAGAATGGCAACTCTTTTAAGCAGAGGAACTGAAATAGAATAAAAAACTGAATAGATGTTTTATGCTTGTGAAAGGTGTGCATACCGACTAAAATGTAAGATATCTAGAAGATGATATTCTGTCAAGATGATCATAGTTAGCATATAAGGATAGTTTTTCGGTTTTTTTAAATGAAGTTTTAATGTTGTTTAAATAATGATTATATATTTTAAAAGAATACTTTAGATCTGGCCTTTATAACTTTAAGCCTGTAACTAAATGACCTTCAAGGTATTATAGACCTTGAAATCTGCCTTCGTATCATCTATATGGCTGTTACCAATTTTCCACAGGCTGTCATCTATTTCTATAGACCATTGTTAAGTCCAGTCTCATATATTTGACATGACAGTGGAAAGAGGACTAGATCTTATTTTGGCAAAACTGTATTTAAATTCCAATTCTGACATTTAATAGCTGTGTAAGATAGGTTTATTATATGTGCTGCCACATTTATGAAAATATCTATATAATACCTATCTTGCAGAGTTATTGTGATTATTTCATTGTTAAATATTTTTGAAAGCCCAGCATATTTCCTGTTATAAAGTCAGACCTCAATAAGTATTAGTTACTT